TTGTTTTGTCAAATCTAATTTTAGTTGATGGAGCTAAATAAGTAGTCCAAGATAATTAACAAATATAAAACGGTAATATTTATAAACAGTCTAAGATATAATTATTTCTGTAATAAAACTCCAAAAGATCAAATAATTTAGGCTTTTTATGCTAAATTAAAAGAAAAAACTTGCTGTGTTTTACTCTATTTTTATAATAAATAAATAAAAAAAAACTTTATCTCTACCGTTTGTCTTCACTTGCTCTCCGACGGAGGAAAGATACATACCATACCACCGCTTGGTGAAGAAGAATCCATCAAAAACGCACAGATTCCTTCCTTACTGACAAAACCATCAGCTCGAGGAAGATGGTGAGGATCATTCCCATGGCGTCCTCTATCCGACCTTCCATCGGCTGCTTCTCCGCTTCTCCTCGCTTCCCCGTTTCTCCGAATCTCTCTCGCACCTTTTCTTACTCACGTAATCATCCTCCTCCTTCTTCACATATATCGTTGAATATAGAGAGAATTAGGGATCAATGAATTAGTCAAATCTGAAACTAGGGCTCTATCTTCAATTCCCCTGTCATGGCTTATGATTTCGTCTTTTTGTTTTATGCTCAATCATCTTCTTATGAAATACCCAGTTAACAATTCCCAGTTTAGGAATCATAGTACTGAAGTTTAAGGAGTTTTTAGTTTTACTCTGCGTTTCTTTGACTTTGTAAGGTTTTTTTTTATGCTTCTTATTCAGTTTTTTGTTTTTTCCAGATGTTCCTCAATCACAGCTTTTCGGTACTATAAACGCTCATAAGCTTTTGAGAAGAAGTGTAAACTGTTTAGGAGTAGCTGAATCTGGAAATGCTGCTCAAGCAAGCACAGCTACTACTCAAGACGATCTTCTCCAATGGGTCAAAAATGACAATAGAAGAATGCTTCATGTTGTTTATCGTGTTGGCGATTTGGACCGGACAATAAAGTACATATGTTGAATTTTTGTTGTGATATGATTTGACATTTAAGCATTTTGAAGTAGCTACAGATTTTTGAGTAGTTTTACAAGTCATTAGGATTAACAGAATCATCTAATTGCTGCAGGTTCTATACCGAATGTCTTGGAATGAAGCTTTTACGCAAGCGTGATATACCAGAAGAAAAATATACAAATGCTTTCCTTGGTTATGGACCTGAAGATTCGCACTTTGTGATTGAGCTCACTTATAGTAAGTCATATCTGTATCATTTAGCTCCAGTCACCTAAAAAATATGCATTTTATATTAAGATGGTTGGCGTAGCCTTCTTATTGTAATTTTGTTTTCAGATTATGGAGTTGACAAGTATGACATCGGGGCTGGTTTTGGCCACTTTGGTATTGCTGTTGACGATGTGAGCCTCTATAATCTGTATATGAAATGCTGTTCTTTTTTCTTTGAAACAAGTGTTTATGTGTCTTGCTTTTACACAAATTTTATCACTTTATGGTTTTGTTTCTAAGAAGTGAACTTTCTATCCAAAAAGGTGGGGAAAATTGTAGAGCTTATAAAAGCCAAAGGTGGAAAAGTCACCCGGGAGCCTGGTCCTGTCAAAGGTGGCAAAACTGTAATCGCATTCATTGAAGATCCTGATGGTTACAAATTTGAACTCTTGGAAAGAGGTGCTACACCAGAACCTCTTTGCCAAGTTATGCTCCGTGTTGGCGATCTTGATAGGTCCATAAAATTCTATGAGAAGGTGAGTCCTTTGAAATTGTTTTGAGAGGTCGGACTTTATTCCCAAATGATAAATGTTTAATCTGATATATTTTCTTTTTCTTTTATCACAATGCATTGTTATCCTCTGATCATATATGTGCTTGCTTTCTTTACAGGCTTTTGGAATGGAACTTTTGCGCACAAGAGACAACCCAGAGTACAAGGTAACTTGCTAAGCCTCACTGATCTAATCCTTACTGGCCGTAAACTTCCCTTTCTATATATTTACGGCTTTTTGTATTCCGTTGTTACCTGCAAAGCCTGTTACTATCGTTTGTTCGATTGGTTTGGCTTGGTGTTTTGTATAAATTTGCTTACCATAAACGGTTATCTTCAGTACAAAATAGCCATGATGGGATATGGTCCAGAAGATAAAACTGCTGTCCTAGAGCTGACATATAACTATGGTGTTACTGAATATGATAAAGGAAATGCTTATGCTCAGGTAAGATAAATTTGACATTCTATGTGTCTAAATTTCTTTTCATGTGGAGGGTAGCCGTAGTTTTAACTTGTTTACATGTCAGATTGCAATAGGGACAGATGATGTGTACAAAACTGCAGAGGCCGTAAAACTCTTTGGGGGAAAAATCACAAGGGAACCTGGTCCCTTACCAGGTATAAGCACGAAGATCACCGCGTGTTTGGATCCTGATGGTTGGAAGTCGGTAAGATTTTGGTGTTGAATGAGATTCATTTTGATGGAAAGAGGTCTGAATATCGCGCTTGAGTTGCTAATTTTTGGCTTTACAGGTATTTGTGGACAACATCGACTTTCTCAAAGAGCTCGAGTGAGAGAAGAAAGAAGAGAAGAGGCACCAAGTGCATCAAAATGGATTGATTCCATAGCTATGAAGGAGACAGGAGGATGGGTTATTGTTGTCTTGTATCAGTTGGGGTTTGATATTTCTCTCGGTGCTGAGTATTAGTTTAAAGTGAATACAATTTGCTTTTTCAAAATCTATAGTGTAGTTGTTCCACAGGAGTTGCGTTCTCGTATATCAGTTCCACTAATCATTGTTGTTATTAAATAAGATGATTAGTGGATGATTAATAAGAAAATGTAAGATCATGTATGAACTTGTATCAACAAAAGCTTATACTCTTCATCTTTTTTTTTTAATCTGAAAATTTCATTAAAAACAAGTGGAATACATGGTCGAAACCGACCGGGTAGAATACAAGGTAGAATATTAGGTAGAATACAAGATAAAATACTAGCTAAACACCTAAACAAAACCACATTAAAGTTCAAAAGACTAACATTCCAAATGAAAAAACGACAACCAAAAGACGACTGATCCAAGAAGAGATTATGCAGACAACTACAAAGCTTTATTAGTCTTGAAGAAGAGATAACAGACCTAGTTCCAACATATAGCTCGTGCCGCACTCTTATTTTTACTGAGAAAGGGTGATACTGTGGTAAAAGGACTTGATCAAAACCTTGCCAAAAACCACATGGTTAAACACTGAGTTTAACACCAGAGATCAATGACCCAAAGATTGTCTATAACTCGAATCAAAGGTCCCGGTCGAAGCCTTAATCCTAGAAATTAGCAGCTAAACCAAGGAGTGGAAGAGTCCAGAACCGATAACACTACATCAACAACTAAAGTCAAAACCCTACAGGAGAACGACTAAGCCAAAAGAAATCAGGAACCAGAGCAGAGACACATACCAACTAACCACCACAAAAGCCCCCACAAACTGTCGCCGCGACCAATTCCACACCTCCCCAAAACCACCGCTCCAAACACCATCTCTACATCCACCTTCAACACAACAAACAAAGAAAGAGAAGCCAAAGGAAGATGAGAGGCTGGGAAACACGCAAATCTGAAGACGGAAAAAGAACCTCAACGGAGGCAGAACTGCCGGAGACAGAACCGACAAAAACCAGATCTGAGATCTCAAACCCTCCAAAGAAACCCAAAAATCTTTAATCTCTTCGCACATCACCGCAAGGATCACTAGCAAGCAAATGAAAAAACCAAACTTTTATACACTAAAGATTACCCGGCACCGGCGATGACCGGAGAACCGCCGCTGCTCACTCTTGGTTATAGTCTTCATCTTATCTTTTA